CTGAGGCTCTAACATACTTTGGACAGGTTGTGAGGAGAGACCGGTCCTTGGAGAAGGACATTATGCTTGGGAAGGTGGAGGGACGGCGCAGGAGGGGAAGGCCCTCTATGAGGTGGATTGATTCAGTGACTGGGATAATCAGGATGGGAGTGTCAGAGACAGTGCGATTGGCACAGGACGGAGCAGAGTTTAGGGCTGTTATACATAGGGTCGCTATGAGTCGCAAGCGACTTGATGGCACTTAACAACAACAGGACCTGTCCACTTGCTCTGGTGTCATAGTGCCTTAGTGCCAGGCCAGAACTTTGCCTGTTTCTCACAGGGCTGGGGCCTCAGAGTATCCAGGGGTATCCAGGACCAGAGGAGCAGTGGGCATGACTGAGAGGTACTGGGCAGGGTCTTGCCCCTCAGACTCACATGTCCTGTCCCCTAGCACCTGCTGCTTGCACCTTCGGATGTGGCGGGCTGGGGCATCTTCATCAAGGACCCGGTCCAGAAGAACGAGTTCATCTCCGAGTACTGTGGCGAGGTGAGCAGACTGCATCTTGGTCAGCTCCCACCCCGGAGTACCTCCGACCTGAGCCCTGACCATGCTGTCCTTTTTCCAGATCATTTCTCAAGACGAGGCTGACAGGAGAGGGAAGGTGTACGACAAGTACATGTGCAGCTTCCTCTTTAACCTCAACAATGGTGTGTGAAGCCCAGCTCCTCTGGGGGTGCCCCTGTGTGGTGAGGGTGCCTATGTGTGGCAGGGTTGCTTGTGAGGCCAGCCTGTGTGGGGATGTCCCTGGGAAGGTTTAACTGGACTGTGGTGGCCAACGTGGATCAGGGTGGAGGGTTTTTCTAGCCCTTTACATGTGACTATCATTAGCTGTGGGGACTAAGCGCTGTGGGTCTCCACATCCGGGCCACCTGGGACAGCGCGTGTCACTTTATCTGCAGACTTTGTAGTAGATGCAACTCGCAAGGGCAACAAGATCCGCTTTGCAAATCACTCTGTCAATCCAAACTGCTACGCAAAAGGTAGGTGCCCGGAGACGCAGACAGGTGGGGCCCATGTGGTGCTGTCCACTCACCACTCACTGTCTCTTCCAGTGATGATGGTCAACGGGGACCACAGGATCGGCATCTTCGCCAAGCGGGCCATTCAGACCGGGGAGGAGCTGTTTTTTGACTATCGGTGAGTCGTGCTGGCTCTGGGGCAGGCCCAAGGCAGACAGGGCTTTGTGTGCTGTGTCCTGTCAGGCGGATGGTTCAGGGTCTTCAGTCTCTGTCACCCTCCTGCTACGGAGCTCTTCCAGAAGCACCTGTGGCAGTCCTGTTTTTAGCTGGGTGGTGGGTCCTGTCAGCACGTGGGCAGACTCGCTGTGGGTCGGAGTCCCTGGGCTCTCCTTGCTACTCCAGCCCTGACTGCCTTGCCCATGTCCTTCCAGATACAGCCAGGCGGATGCCCTGAAGTACGTGGGCATCGAGAGGGAGATGGAGATCCCCTGACAGGCGCTGTCCCCAGCAGCTAGTTGCATCAGGAACCTCCAGCTGCCCCTTAGAAACGGGCGTTTGAATTCTGAATTTGCAAAGTACTGTAACGATAATTTATAATAATGAGTTTTAAAAATCCACTTTTTATCGCCTTCTCACCAGCTGCAGTTTTGTACCAGTGACTTTTTGCAACAATGCCGTGTGGTACATTTTTCAACTTTGAATAAAGAATACTTGAATTTCCCTTGTTGCCTGTGGCACAGATTATTGGCCAGGTGTCTCTGCAGTCACTCTGCAGCCGTCAGTCCACACTGCCGCCAAAGCAGAGCATGGTGGCCAGGCGACTGCAGAGCCTGGTCCAGCAGAGATGTTGGGAGGGGTGGGTGGGGGGGAGGAGCCCAGTGTGCAGCCATGGTGGGTTCAGTCTTGTTTGCTAGAGAAATGTTCAGATAAGATTGTGATCCTGCCAGGGCTGCATATGGTACAGCAAGGGTCTCTGGTAATAAAGCCTGGTCTCAGATGGCCCCCTCTGTTCCTCACATTATTCCCATGGGCCCTCTTCCATACACTTTGTCCAGTGGGTGGACCGGACTAAGCAGGGCCCATCAGAGAGCTGGTGTCATCGTTAAAATACACCAGGAGAGGCTGGGGACACACGCGTTTCCCCGATCATCAGATGGTCATCAAAAGGTTCAGTTTGCAACAAAAGATGACAAGGCACATGCAGAAAGAACACATAACTCACTCAGGATAAAAACTTGTCCACCAGACCCATTTTCAAGTGTCCTGTGTGGTCGGCCTGTTTGAGCCTTCCCCACCTCTGCCCAACGAGTGCGCGCACGCCACTCAGCTGAAGCTGCACTGTACTCCTGTGCATCCAGACCAGCAGCCCTGTTGGAACGGCTGCTCTTTCAAGGGCTGTCACCGCCGCTTATCATGTGAGGCAGGGGCCTGATGTGTGTCCTACCCCGGCCAGCCCGGCCTCGGACCCACAAAGGCACTTCAAGAGTCTGTGAAATTGCATAATCATTATATCTTTTATTTACATATAGAAATTAGTAAAACGTAAAACAAAAACCAAATGCGACTTGTACAGAAATCCTTTAATTCTCTTTATTCTCACACATTAAAAAATGAAGCACACTGTACAGATGTCCCTGCGGCGTGTGGCCACGCCCTGCCCTTGGCCGCCAGGGGCAGCGTGTGCTGGGGACGCAGCGGCATGCAGCCTCAGGGCCCGTCCCCTCTGTCCTTAACTTAGAGTAAATGGCGTCCAGTCGGAGTGCATTGACAGAAGGTCAGTCCTGAGCGATTGGGTGCGGGCCTGAGGCCGCCCGCCAGCACGGGCGCTGTCCTCCCAAGTGCAGTGACCCAGCCACGCCTGGTGGAGGCTAAGCCAGGTAGCTGTAGGTGTCCTTCTCCCCATCCACTCGCTCCAGGTACTCCTTCTCGATCAGAATGTCAATGCATTTCTGGATGGCGTTTAAAGGGAGACAAACATTTACCCTCAGAACTGAGCCCCAGCAGTGGCTGCTGCTATGCTGCCCCCCACCTCCAGCCCGGCCCAGACACCACCACCCCGAGTGGTCTAGCACGGTGGTCAGGCAGCTGCGAGCAAAGTGTGATGCTGGAGCAGGAGCCAGGGACGTGGGGAGGCACCAAAACAAGGCAAGAACCACCGTGTGCACCCCGCAAATATTCTGAACAAGGTGGCAAGTCTCGTTGCCCAGGGCCGCCTGTGAACCCCAGTGGGAGTGTGTGCTTGTCTGTACCTTGATGACGGGGACCCTCGGCTTGAAGCGTGAAGACAGCTGCGTCAGCACCTCACCTAGCAGCTGCTGGTGTTTCAAGACCTTCCTCATCTTCATGATCCTCACGATGGCCGCCTGGAGAGGTGAAGGGGACCCCAGTGAGGGGCACAGAGGGACGGGGTGAAGGCAGAGCCAGCTGATCCCAGAAGCCTGTGGCCTCATGAGTGACCGAGCCTCCTAGAAAGGCAGTTTCGGGGACCCTTGGTGGTGCAGTGCTAAGTGCTGTGCTACAGGCTGAGGGCACTGGCTGGGACATCATGACAGTCCCGCCAGGTGACAAGGAGTCTTGAAGTCTAGTGACATTTTTGAATCCACAAGTACCAGCAGCCAAGGGGCTCAGGGGCAGTCTAGAGGGAGCCACACTGAGACAGAGGAGTTGACTTGAGCTGTGTGGTCAATGCTGCCCACAAGTCACCTGAATCAGAAGTTTCCGGTCTTCCTCGATGTTCTTGTGTGTCGTTTCCTGTTCCTGCTTCTGTTCGGTTTTCATTGGTACATTGATGTTGACCCTTAATTTTTTACTGTAAAAGAGATGCCATGTTAGTTACAGGTGGTGTCCCTCGTGTCCACTAGGCTGCAATCCCCTCTCCCCTAAGGACCTCAATTCTTCCCCTGTTCCCCGTGCTGTGTCAAGTGAAATAAAACAGGCCCCTGGACATGAACAAGCCCTGAGTTTCTAAGGAGGCACAGCAGTCAAGGAAACTAGTGAATGAAGAAAAAACCCAAGAACTCCAGAACCCTGGAGAAACTGGGCTGGAGGTGAGATCATGGTTCAGCCATCTGACTCAGGCCTCATGGATGCCCAGGCCCCAGAAGCAGGGATCCTGGGAAGGGGCTAGGGCCTCAAGGGTGTGGTCTGGCCCAGGGCCAGACAATAGCCTTTTCTTACTTTTTATAACCAAGATATAATTTTATTAAGGTATCTGGCTTCAATTCCACCTCATCAACATTTGCATTTTCATCTTCCAGGACCTGTAAGGAAATAAGTCATTACTACACAGCCTCAGGAAATGCCTTTCTCATAGGTGAGCATGGAAAGGGAACACATACCAGCAGCTTTGACTTCAGCAAAATCTGCAGGACCTGGGCCAGAATGTCCTGCAATTAAGAGAAAATATCACATTAGCAGGAGCATGTCCCAAGGTTCCAGCACCCACAATCCACATTGGCCACAGAAGACAATCACTGCTGGTGCAGGTAGATGCCCAGAGGAATTCAAGATGGTGTTGTCTGCAGTCCTTTGTTGACCCTCCAGCGATGACAGACCCTTGCTGGCTTCAACCCAAAGTAATGACAGAAGTCAGAAACCATGCCGAGAAGCGTCATCACCCAACACAGCACAGGATGTGCACCCCCACCTCCTACACCAAGACCACCAGCACCCCCACCTCCACCGTGACCAAGTGGCATTTATCTCAGGAATGCAGAGTTGGTTCAATGGGTGGAAATACAGCCCAGAAACACAGGAAATATATTTGACTAAACCAACACCCTTTCTGAACCACCCAATAAACTAGGAATAGAAGGGGCTCTTAACACGACAACAGGACACTGTGGAAAGGTACTGTTAACTTCCTAGTCAACAGAAGAAAACCGTAAAAACATATTCTTATGCTGAAAGGCAATGCAAGGCGCTGGTTCTGACAATACTGTAATGAAATTCTCCGCGGTCAAGAGAACAAGGGAGAAAGACATGAGACACTCAAACCCACCAAAGAACCATCCACACTTGGTAAGTGTGTAGCTTTATAAAGACATTCTTAAGAATCTATTCAGAAGTATCAGAACTAATAAAACTGAGCAAAGTTGCAGGATCCATCTGCCTGCCTGCAGACACCATCAATCAATGATCAGAAAAGGAAACTAGAAACCACTCATTTAAAATAGCATCAGAGGAACAAAATGTGTAGGATTAAGCCTGCATAGAAAACTAGAAAACACTGCTAACAGGAACTGAAGACCCAAGTGAACAAAAAGGTGTGTCCTATGTGCCCAGAACAGAAGCCTTACTAACTCCATGGTGACAGAGGCCAGGGTTCTGTGGGGTGGGGTTTGATGTCTTTGGACAACCTGGAGCGCTGCCCCTCAAGTTTATATAAAACAGCAGAGGTCCTTCACCAAGACAAGCTTTAGAAAGAACAAATCTGAAAGTCCAATATTTAAGCATAATCGAAAACAGTGTGATGCTGGCATAGGACATATATATAAACCAACAGATAATCCAGAATCCATACACAACCCCTGATTCTTGACAAGAGTATCAAGTCCCTTTAACAGGAACAACACATTGTTGCTCTTATGCACCACAAACTGGAGCTGACCCTTCAAGTGCAGAAACTGCAGGGAAGATATGACCCGGTGGAGTCTCTGACAGGATAGAACTCACATCAGCACCTCACATCACAAATAAAAAAGTCCAGGGATCTGGGAAGGGAGCTCTGGTGGCCCAGTGGCAAGAACCTACACAGTTCTCTGTGGGGGAACGATGGGTAATCTCTTGGGTGATTAATTGCCTCTGAAAACCCGCTGGACGGTCAGCTCTGACTCACTTGTACCCAACAGTGACAATCAATCAATTGGGAGACGAAAACCGTGAAATGTTAGGCATTTTTCTAGACATGACAACCAAAGTATAAGAAAAAACAATTTGGCGAGCTCTGGTGGCCTAGTGGCAAGAAGCTGCACTGCAATCCCAGAGGTGTGCAGTTCAAATCCACCAGATGCTCTGCTGAAGAAGGAGGAACAATTGCCTCCTGTACCAGTCAGATCTGATTTCACGGTACACACATAAAAAAATAATAAAAAATTTTTTTTTTTAAAAAAAAACAACACAATTTGACTTGTAAGTATATACAGACAGTGCTGGACAGGAAGACCCTGGAAGAGATGGATTGACATGGTAACTGGGGCAATGGAGGTTGGTGTGTCAAGAGTCAGGAAGACTGGCTCAGGACAGGGCAGGCTGCAGAGCTGCTGTGCACAGGGTCACTATGAGTCGCAGGCAACTTGACAGCACATAACAACAGTATACATCCAAGGGGATGGAAAAAATGTCCATACAAAACCATGAATATTGAAAGCAGCATTGTAGTGACCATTACAGTGACTGGAAAGAGCCCAATATTTATCAAATGCTGCACCCACACAGTGGACAGTTATCAAGTACAAGGAGGAAGCATGGAGCCACGGTTGTATTTGGATCAATCTGTGGAACAGCGTGCTGGGTCAGCCTTCAGAGGGCCACGGGGCAGCAAACCCACAGCCTGAAGCACTATGGCTGTGGGGCTGGAAGAGGCCAGGGTCTCCGAAATAAGGAAATGTCAGCCAGCAACTGACACAAAACATGACTATACTAAAAAAATCCTGGATCTGCATGCTTCCCAGTGGTGAATTTTGTAATTTGTGATTAAAAAAATTATAACAAAAAACCTTTTAAGAACAAGGGTAAGGAGCTGGAAGATCCAATGTTTGTATTCCCAGCTCCGGTGAAGGAGAGAAAGCAGGCCGTCAGGACTTGCATCCAAGTCCCCTGATGCCCGTCCAGCAGGCCTGGGAAGAGACGTACCATTTTGATCTGCGTGCTGTCGGTCAGCTGCTGGACGGTGTAGGCATCCTCTGTGTTGTACTGGAGCAGGATTGCCATCTGGAATGTGGATGCCTGTTACCCCACAGAGGCAAGAGGTGGTGGTTAAATTCCAGATCTAGGGCATCACCATGAGAGCTTCTTTATGAAACAAATTCTGAAGTGGACACAATGGATCAGGGGCCAGCTACTACCCTGTTAAGTGACCTTCCCACTGACAAATGTTCTCTGTGATGCACACGCCCCCAGCAGTCCAGAGGCCTCTTCAACCCCGTTGACGTGTTTGTTACACATGCAGTCACGCCCCCGCCCCGGTCTTCTGTGGGCACACAGATTTGTCCATCCTTCTAGTGTGGAGCAGCTGGTGGACTCAAACTTTATGCCTTTGAGATTATAGCACAGCTTCTTACCACTAGGTCATCACAGCTAACACAGTTTTCCAAAGTCCCTGTGCTGAGGACCACTGCAGCCAGGGGTCAGAGTGGGCCCTGTCCCCATCAGTGAGATGTGGCAGCAAGTGCAGCAGAGAAGTGGCAGAGTGGGACCAGAAGACTGGGGCAGACACTTGAGTGATCTGCTTTTGCATCACAAAGTAAAGTGGCTACTGTGGACACACGACACCCTGGAGTGAGAGCTAAGCATCTCCTGGGCACAAAGGCTGTTGGCAGCACTGGGTGCTTCAAGGCATTGGCTGGTGAACTGAAAGGCTCTATCTACCACCTGCCCAAGCAGAGCAGAGGTCAAGTTAAGGGCCAAGGGCTGTGGCCGAGAAGACCTGTCCTTACTGAAGAGCTGGGCCTCGAGGTGACCCTAAATGGTAACCTGCTCCTTTTCTAGCCAACTATAAATGCTGAGTGTGGTTTTGTGTGGCCACCAAGGTGGGTGAACGGAGCCTGTGTGCTTGTGAGTGGGTGCTGCTCCTTGTCACCTGTGCAGACTGACTGGCTGTAAGCCCCTCACAGGAGAGCAGCAGTAATGCCAGGCCTACGTGAGGGTGTGGGACGAGGCCCCTGGCAGGACCTAGAGAAGAGCCCACACTGGGTGGTGTGGCCCTAGATGGTGGTCCCTCCTGACTGCCGGGACAGTGACCCAATGCCCAGACACCAGCCCAGAAGAGGTGCTATATGATGACACAGGACAAGTGTCACCACGACTGCATGTCAGGACACTCCTGTGTGCAAATGTCTCCATCAGGCTGACAGCCAGCCTCCTGAACCATCTGTCTCTCGAGCCATCTGTGGCTTGTCACTGCAGCCACCATCTTTCCAGGGAAACCTCAAATGTTAAGGCAAAACAACACATGTGATGCAGAAAGAACAAACTCTGAGGAGCAGTCCTTCACTGAGATTGTGGCCTGCGCCCATGCTCGTCTCCTGTTAGGGGACCTCACCTGCAGCGTGTATCTGTTCTTGAAGCAGTTGGTTACTAACTCCCCCTTAGACAGCTGGTACAGCCACGTCAGCTTCCTGCCGCTGTGTCTGCTGGCGTAGAAGGCTGTGAACCGCTGGTAACTCCTCTCCAGCTGTGGAGGTGCAGGTCAGAAAATCTGTGCTCTGCCATCATAGGGACACCACACCTAACACCTGCCCTCAGCGTATGGCCTATTTGTGTGTAACATGACTCAAGATCACATGTGAAGCTTCAGTAAATCAAATGCGACCTGACTTGTAGGAAGCCATTGAGTGTGCACCCCAATGCCTGACCCCTACACAAGAGAACCTGCCATGCTTGTGACAGAACCCAGTCGGCATGGTGCCAGTGCCCGCCCACCCAGAGCAGTCTAGCCCTTGGTGGTCAGCAGTGTGGCCTCTGTAGGGTCCCAGTCTCCCCTGCCCCTCACCTCTGAGGGCAGCGCAAAGGTGCAGGACTGCTGGAAGGGCCACGACCCGGAGCTCAGGACCTGGATGCTGAAGTCCACTGTGGGCAGATGGGCTAGTCAGGGCTGGACCCACTTGTCCCCCAGAGGGCTCACTGACAAGGCACCAGTAACAAACTAATAACCATTTTTTACTTCCACCAGAAAGGCTTGTTCCAGAGCACCTCCTCCCCTTGCCGCTGGAACACGCCAGCAGGATATGTCCCAGTACTCACAGTCCAGGGGTTCAGAGTTGGTCAGGTGCTTCTTGAACTGCTCATTCAGGTCCTTGCTGACTCCAATGTCCTGGAACATGCGCTGGAGCTTGGAGGTGTACTCAAAGCCACAGGCTTGCTGGAATGTCAGAGGGAGTCCATCACTCCCCAGGCACCTGCATGCCCATCACTGCCGGATGCAGTGGTACACTGACACGGGCCCAGAGGCCCCAAGTCAGTGCAGTGGGTTTAGTTGGTGGCATTTGTTTATTGCTTTACTAAATTAGCAGAATTGTATTCTAGAAAAACCTGTTAACTACAGAATTCAGAAGGGATCAGAGTTCAGCAGGACCATTTAGAATAAGGACAAGGATGACCACAGCAGGATGTGGGGGGAGCACAGTCCAGGTATGCAGTCATCAGAGCAGCAGCTCCCATCAGGGTGGTAACACTATCCTACACACCGTGAGTGGCCACTCCACTCTGAGGAGGCCGTGCCCTATACCTACTGCCCCCTGGTGCAGCCATACCTTCAGCTTGGAGATCATGCTGGCCTCTGCATCATCGCTTGCGCTGTTCTGGTGTACTAGGCGCTTGGCCAGCATTTTTGCGTAGAACTTCTGGAACACATCTTTGTCCTCGATGTACTTGAATACAACCATCTAGTGGACCAACAGAGGACGTGCTGGTGTCCCACCAGGCACTCCCAGCCTGTCCTGCCCCCTGCCCGGGGATGGGGACAGCCCTTCACAGTGCACACATCTAGACTTAGTGCTGACAAGGACAGAGGTTCTGTCCCCACGTGGACAGACACGACCTGGACAGTCTCCCAGCATCAGCAATGGGTCCTGTGACCTCACAGGTGGCTCACCACTTGGTTCAGCGTGTCTTCCAGCTCCGCCTCTTCTGGATTCTTGGAGCTGAAATTTAAAAAAAAACACACAACAAAAAACAAAACAAAACAGTTTTGAAACTGGCAAATGTTTAATCAGCATGTACTGGCCAGCCAAATTATGATGCCTGACTGACTGGCACGTTGGGTCCTCTGACAGTGGTGGGAGCGAGTGGGCAGGGCACCCCCCCTGGCCGTGGCTACATCATCAAGCCCATCACGCACTCAGTGCTCAGCAGTGACCTGTCAGGACACCAAGGTGAGCAGCACCAACAGAAAGGATATGCAACTAGTTCTCAAAAACATTCTCAAGACGTTTTCCTTTAGGACATGAACAGAAGGGCTTTTGTTGCCACAATCTGCCTTTGGACAACTAAAACATACAGAGGTAGCTTTCTCTTCATGGTCTGAAAACTAACAACAGTGAAAGGTTAGATGATGTGCGGCATCCACATGTGTGCACGGTGAACGCTCTAGGACTAACTGACGGCCGCTGGTGACATGTTCACTCTGGTTTGACCTGAGGAAGTGGAGGCAAGCGTGCCAGCTTGATGAGGTTCTGCTACAACAGTGGGCACTGCCCCCACCAGGGCTGCAGCGAGAGCCAGAGTCTCCTGACCATCTCCTACACTGTGGGAACTGGTATGACCCAGGGCACTACTTCCTGCTGATGACAGATCCTGGGCCAAGGGCACAGGAGGAACCCAGGTCCTGCGTCTCCTCAGAAGTCACTGTGCAGCTGTGGGATGCACAGAAGGTGTGACACCATCTCTGCTCTTCTGTCTACAAATGGTGACTCTTCCAGGAGCACCCGTACCTTTTCTTGAGCAGGGAATCGCAGTACCGCGCCAGCAGCTCTGGGGACTTGCTGGAAGACTGTGCCATCTTGGTTACAGCGTTGTTGTTGATGAAGCGGCCGCAGGCCTACGGGTGCATGGGGTACTGTTAGAGGGTGCTGTGACCTCAGGAGCCTCAAATGAGCCCAGTGGTGCTAACCCACCTTATCCAGTGCTGCCACAAATCCAGCATCGTTGTTAAAGGCAGACATCACCAGGGCATTGTACTTCTTATGCACATCCAGTACCGTCTGCACATACATCTTTGGGTCCTAAGAGAAGGGGACAGCAGATGTTAGTGTGGGAGACCACACAGCACACTGGGGCAGCCCTGAAAGTAAGAGGCGTTGTTGACGGGAACATGGGCAATGAGGGGTTTGTAACACTCTGCTGGAAAGGAAGTCACTGGTAATGTTTCTTGTTACTCAAAACTAAGTCACAGAAACCACACATGTGAGCCTGACAGCTGTGTGCAGCCAGTGTGTGTCCAGCCCTGGCCCGCCCCGGTGCAGAACCACTCAGGACCTCTGTGTGCCCAGCTGCTGTGCACTGGGGACAAGCAGCAGAGGGGCTAGTGAACAGCAAGGGATATGGAGCCAGATGGGGAACATGGGGTCACCAGACCTGAAGTGCAGCCATGGGGATGGAGGGGTTCAGACGGGAGATGCCACATCACACGGGCAATAGCTCTGCTTTGAATCAGTCACTGCCCACGCAGGTGGAGGCAGGCTGGGAGGTCAGGGCCTGACCGGAGGTGAGGCAGGGGCAGGAGGCCATCTGGGTCCCGCACCCCTAGCTAGCAATGGAGACAGTCTGGGAAAGAACCGGGTCAGCCTGGAAAAGTCTCTGCAGAACCCGTGCTTCTGGCTAAGTCTGAGGTGCTGCTGGGGCGAGGGAAGCTGTAGTGGGGTGTCTGTGAGGGGCACAGTGCTAGCACTGTCTCTACTCCTGATGGCAACCAACCTTGTGGAATCAGAAAGGCCAGGCAGGCAGGCTGTGGACCGTGTCTCCACGGGTGACAGGCTGGGGTGACCTGTTCTGCAGCTGCTGAGTCGGGTCCACATGCAGCAGAACTGGAACTCTGGGCTGTGGCCTCCAACAGACCTGTCTCCTGAGGGGCCTCTGAGGGTGTTTGAACTGCTAACCTTCCAAGGAGTAGTGAAGTGCTTACCTGCCTGTGCCACTCAGGTTGTTGATAAAGCAGTGGACAAAAGATGACATGACAGACTCAGAACAAATGGACACCGGGGACCCACGCCTGTGTAGGGACGGAGGTCCTAGTTAACACCTGTGTCCACAAAAAGGGGCCCAACAGGTGGCCTGAAGTACGTGCGTGTGATGCATGTACAATGCAGATGGTCTATCCCGTGTGTGTGTGTGTGTGTGTGTGTGTGTGTGTGTGTGTGTGTAAGTGTAATTATGTGCTCCTGTCAGAACGTGTGCATCTGACCTTTGGCCCTAAGAACCACCAAGACGTCAGGATAACTCAGGTGAGGCTCTGCACACACCACGGGGAGTCCTGACCACTGGGCCTGCTGCCGCTCTGGATACTGTGTCCTTAAGACAGTCTAAGAGGTGGGTACTGTCGCCTCGTTTCTGTATGCCTGACGTTAGGGCAGCAGGTTACCCCCACTGGGAAAGGGAGATTGAGCGGCGGCCCCTGGGCACCCATGCCCGTGCCCCGCAGCACCTCAGACTGGAGCTGGAGTCTCCAGGTCCCTTGTCACGAGCCTGTTTGAGAATCTGAGACTTTATCAACCCTGGTGAGCCTCCAGCCATCTGTAAAGCTTGCGGCTCTGGGAGCTCAAGATATGTAGCCCCATTTCAGGGAGGCAACAACTCCCAGGACTTCAGGTGGAAAAGGCCCCTCCAGAGATCACCAGGCTCTGAAACCACTCAGCATGGATGGCCCAAGAACCCATCACCAAGTGCAACCCAAGCTGGGATGTTTTCTAGGCTGTGAGACGCCATCAGGAGCCACCTGCTCTATACCGGTGTCTGCCGACCATGGGAAAAGCCCTCAGCAGCGCTGGCCCATCCTGTGGGGAGCCTCTAGGGACCAGGCCCCTGTAGGACACACCATGTGGGGGTGGGGTGCACAGGCTAACACAGCACCTCAGCCTCTCCTGAGCAGCTGCCCTGTGAGTGGAGCTCCTGACAGGCACAGCCCAAGGCCGGGGGGGCGCAGTCCCACGAGCATCAGAGCCGTGTGGGAGCCCACGGCCAAGGAGCCAGAGGTACTCACGTTCAGCGCAGCCTCCCCACACTTCTCAATGGCGGCCAGACCCTGGTTGTGAATGTGCGTCTCCAGGAGCTTCTTGAGCTCCCCCAGACCATCCTGGATCCTGGACACCAGGTTGTACATGCGGCCCAGATCTGTGGAAGAGGAGTGTCTCAGGGGGGACGGGGCACCCCCACTGTAGCCTGTTCATGGAGAGGTGGAGCCCCCAATCCCCTCCATCCAGGTAAGGCTAGCTGCTCACTGTGAAGCGTAAATGAAGCAGCACTACTGCTGTTGTAAGTGCCACTGAGTCACCTGCGACTCAAAGACCCTAAATACAACAGCCCTAAACCCTGCTCTATCCTGTGTCAACCTCACTGTCTCTGACACACCTATCCTCTTTACCCAGTGACAGAATCAATCCATCTCATCGAGGGTCTTTCTCTCCTGCGCTGTCCCTCCACCCTCCCAAGCATGACGTCTCTCTCCAAGGACTGATCCTGCCTTGCAGCATGTCCAAAGTACATCAGACAGAGCTTCAGAATCCTTTCTTCCAAGGAGCAGCCTGGCTTCACCCTCTCCAGGACAAACTTACTTGTTCTCCTAGCAGTCCATGGTAGATTCAGTACTCTTCTCCACCACCACAGTTCAAAGGCACCAATTCTCCTTCTATCGTACCTAGTCATCATCCAGCTCTCTAATGCATAGCAAGAAATGTCAAAGACCACGGTCTGAATCAGGGGCACCTTAGTCTCCAGACTGACACTGTTGCTCCTCAGTACCTTGGAGAGGTCTCTGACAGCAGACTTTCCCAATGCAATTCGTCTTTTAATTTCCTGGCTTCCGGTACAAAGAATGTTGATTGTAGAGCCAAGCAAACCGAAGCTGTCAACAGTCTCTTCACCATCTATCATCTAATTGGCCAATGGTGAGAATCTTTGTTTTCTTCATGCTGAGCTTCAATCCACATTGAAGGCTGCAGTCCTTGACCTTCTGTAGCAGGCGCTTCAGGTCCTCCTCAGTTTCAGCAAGCAGGGTCATGTCATCTGCATAACGTAGACTGTTGAGGAGTCTTCCTCTAATTCTAATGCCACACTTCTCATAGAGCCCAGCCTCCCAGATAATTTCTTCTGCATACAGATTGGAAAGATATGGAGATAGGATACATCCTTGATGCACACTCTTCCCAATTTTGAACCATGGAGTATTTCCTTGCTCTGTTTTGATGACTGTCTCCTAGTCCAAGTATACACATCCAATTTCCTCTATGTATGAAAACCTCCCAAAGGAACAGAGAAAGAAACTGCAGAAGTGGCAGCAAGCACTTCTAGAGAAGATCACTTACATCTGAGGGAGCAAGCACTCACGGACTGATTTTTTTGAACAGAATAAATTTAGTGAGACTGAATATTCAGTGTAAGAACAAGAACGTCACGAATGGGCCTTCAAATGGGTATGTGTCAGGAATGTGATCACATAAGTGAGGCACAACTGACTTGGGGGGCAGCCTGGAATGGGGATCCAGGCTCCATCTCAATGCAATCAGAAGCCATTCAGTGCTGATCTGCTTGGGCATGTGTGTGTGACAAGGTACCCAGCTGTCCACCCCAAGTCCCTGCAAGCTGCTATTGGCCCCTCTTTTGATGCCTGGCCTGGCAGAACAGAGGCTTGGAGGTGGCTGGCAGCTCCCACACTTGCTGGAGCTTCTCCTTGAAGGAGACAGCTCCAACAGTCTGTCCACACCAGCAGTACACGGCATTCCATGGGAAGAGGCCGCCCTGCAGCCCCAGACACTGAGCTTTGAAACTGGGACAGGCTCACAGCTTGTGGAATATATTTATCAAAATGGCTTTCTAGTAAATTTTATACACAATGACTCTTGCTTCAATGCATTTGCTTTCTATTTGCAAAGAATTCCAATCTAGAACTTGAGAACTTTGTAACCTGGAACCAGACAATCGAAAGAAACACTGAGCAGTGCCTTCTGAATGACGTACAATTATCCTAAAAGTTAAAAACAAAGAAGCTCAAATCCTGGTTGGTGAAAATGCAGCAATACAGGGTGACAGCGACTATTACTGTCTCTCCGTGCACTTAGTGATGAGAAGTTACTGCTCTCATAACCAGAAAGCACGCCTGCCCTCTCCCCGAGGGCACAGGTGCTAGACCAGCCCATGGTGTGTGCTCCCTCCACGCTGGCTCCCCACCCCCGCCCCCGCTCACCTTCATTCTTGTCGGCGTCCAGCAGGTTCTGGAACTCGGTGTGGAAGATTTCCAGGTGCTTCTCAATGAGCACCTGCTCGCACTTGCGCGCCAGCTCGTCCTGTGTGCTCTCGTGCAGGTACACCTGGACGCGGCGCTGCTCCTCCAGGAGCCGGGCCTCAGCCTGCGGCGGCAAGGGGAGTGTTAGCCCATGGCAGTGTGGACCCTCCCACCAAAGACACGGCTTGAGGGTGTGCTGACCCTCTTGGCTATCAGATGGTCAGGAGCTACAAAGAAAAGCAACTGGCCTCCTCAGAACCTCAAGACCTGCCCCAGCACCTCCTGGGCCATCTGCCCACCTCTGAGCACACACCAGGGACACATGGGTGCAGAGTCACTGTCGCGTGGCGGACAGGGAGGCTTGAGGCCAGGAGACACAAGGACATCATCTCTTATCTCTTTGAAATAGCATCCAAGTCTTGTATAATTTTAGAGAAATTGGACAAAACTCAAGTGAGAGAATAAAGGTTTAGTCCTAAGAACACTTAAAATACAAAAGGCTGAGCTAACACATGGCGTGCACAGTCCTTGGATGCTATGTCTCTCTCTCTCACACACACACACACACCCACACCCCTGGTGTACAGTCCTTGGATGCTATGTCTCGCTCTCACACACACACACCCACCCACACACACCCACCCCACCCCCCCGGGCAGCAGGAGGTGGGAGGCCCAGAGCTGCCAGGGATGTCCTCCTCACCAATGTCAAAGCCAGGGCAGAGGCTTTTCTAAACATCTCAGAGCTACCCGTATTCAAATCATGTACAAGTGCTCTCCATAATGTGAAAAACTAGGAGCTAATAAGGAGCTAATTAGTAAATTAACACCACATCCATCTAATGGCTCTATCTAATGGAAATTGTTAAAAATGAAATGGAACACACAGAGATCGACATACTAGGCATTAGTGGGATGAGATGGACCAGCTTTGGCCACTTTTAAATAGATAATCATATGGTGTACTATGTATGCAGGGAACAAAAAATAAGAAAAATAGTGTTGTATTTATAGTAAAAAAGTCAATTTCAAGTTGTATCTTGAAATACAATGTTCTGCGTGATAATATCCACATGCATACAAGACGACTTGTTATCACAACTATTATTCAAATATATGCCCTACATCAAGAGCCAAAGAGGAAGATACTGAGCATTTTTACCAAATCTTGCAGTCCAAAATTAACAGAACATAGAATCAAAATACATTAATGATAACGGGTGACTAGAATGCAAAAGTAGGAAGCCGTGAAGAAAGAATAGTAGTTGGAAAATATGGGCTTGGTGATGGAAATGCAGCAAGAAAGAAAATGATTCAATTTTGTATTTATAATAATTTATTAATTGTAAATACCTATTTTAAAAGACACTAACAACCACTTTATACATGGATCTCACCTGAGGGGCTGCACAGGAAGCAGACTGACTACATTTGTGGAAGAAATCATTGGAGAAGGTCAATACTGGCAGTCAAAACAAGGCTGAGGCAGACTGTGGGTAAGATTATCAATTAACTCATACACAAGTTCAAAAGGACACACACATAAAAAAAAATTAAGTAATTAAGTCCACAGGAACTAAGAAATGATCTTGAATCAATTCCATCTCAATTTCATGATCATCTTAGTAATAAGTTTGAGGCACTGAGCACCAGTGATGGAAGACCAGAAGAGTTGTGGGATGATACCAAGGATATCATCCATGAAGAAAGCAAAGGTCATTACAAAAACAGAGAAAGAAAAAAATCTTAATGGATGTCAGAAGAAACTCTACGATTGTACTGTAGTGTCGAGAAGCCAAAACAAAAAGAAAACATGTTGAGGCGAAAGAGTTGAACAGAAGATTTCAAGGACAGCTCAGGAGGACAAAGCAAAGTATTAGAATGGAATGTATAGAGAGCTGGAATTGGAAAATAAAATGGGAAGAACGCTCTCTGCATTTTTAAAGCTTAAAGAACTGAAAAACAAATTTATGCCTCATGCCATATTGATATATACTATGGAACTATCTCGAATGACCCAGAAAGCATCAAAAGAAGATGGAGGAATACACAGAGTCACTGTACCAGAAAGAATTGATCGACACTGAAAAATTTCAGGAAGCACCATATGAACAGTTGTCAAAGGTAAAAAAGGAGAAAGTAGAAGCTGCACTGAAGGCACTGGCAAAAAAAATAAGGCCCCAGGAATTGATGTGATGCCAAATGACTTGTTTCAATTAACAGATACAGCCTTGGGTGCACTCACCAGTCTATGCCAGGAAATTTGGAGGACATCTGTCTGGCCAATGGATTGGAAGAGATTCATATTTGTTCCCATTCCTAACAAAGGGGATCTGACTGAATGTGGAAACGAACCTTACCACTGATATCACATGTGAGAGAAATACTGCTGGAGATCATTCAAAAATGGTACATAGACAGGGAACTGGCAGAAGTTCAAGCAGGATTTAGAAGAGACCGTGGCATCAGGGGCATCACTACTGATGTCAGATGGATCTCGGCTGAAAGCAAGGAATGCCAGAAGAATGTCTATTTGTGATTTACTGACTATGCAAAGGCATTTGACTGTGGATCTTAACAAGCTGTGGCTGACACTGAGGAATAGAATCCAGAGCACTTGACTGTGCCCATGTGGAACCTCTACCTGGACTTGGGAGCCAGTTGTGCAAGCAAAGCAGGGGAGCACTGCATGGTTTGGAACTGGGAAGGGAGTGCGCCAGGGTTGTATTCTCTCATTATACCTATTCAATCTGAGAAGTGGGACTCGATGAGGAATGCGGCATGAGGATTGGAGGCAAACTCATCATAACCTGCGTTATGCAGATGACATAACCTTGCTTGGTGAAAGTGAGGAGGACTTGAAGCTCCTGTTGCAGAGGGTCAAGGAATACAGCCTTCAATACAGATTGCATCTCAATGTCAAGAAAACAAAGATTCTTACCACTGGACCAATAGGTAGCATCATGATGGATGGAGAGGAGATTGAAACTGTCAATAGCTTCATCTTGCTTGGATCCACAATTAACACCCTTGGGACCAGCAGTCAGGAAATAAGGAGATGCACTGCACTGGGATAATCTGCAGTTAGGGACCTTTTCAAATTATTGACGAGTAAAGATGTCAGTTTGAGGACTAAGGTGCGTCTGATTGAGGCCATAGTCTCAAATTACTTGCTATGCATCTGAGAGCTGGACAATGAATAAGGATGACATTAGAATTGACACCTTTGACCTGTGTGTGTGTGTGTGTGGAGAAGAGCACTGAACTATGGATGGCCAGAACAAACAGATTTGTCTTGGAGAGGGTGGAGCTGGGGTGCCCTTGGAGGCAAGAATGATGAAGCTTCGCCTCACATACTTTGTTCATGCTCCTTGGAGAAGGACATGATGCTGGGAAGTGTGGAGGGTTGGCAAAGAGGATGAAGACCCTCAACCAGGTTGAGGTCACATGGTGACTGCTGCAATGGGCTCTTATGTGACAGGAAATGCGAGGATGGTGCAGGATAAAAAGCAGGGTTCAGAACTTTTGTTCATGGGGTCGCTGTGAGTAGTACTCAACTCGACAGCACCTAACAACAACCATGACCACCACCGTCTAATGGAATATTGTAATCCACTAAAACACAGAGAAAATAGGTTCATGTAACAACGCAACTCAAAATCTTCAACTGCCTAATTTCTGCCATTCCTCACCCTGGGGAGTGTGTCCACCCTGCAGGGGCAAAGCAGTGTACATGGACACGTGTGCACTCAATGTGGACACACAGTAAAGGGCTCCTGGGCACCAGACCCCAGTGTGACAGGGAAGACGAGAGGATCATAAGCTCTGTTCACTCTTGCGGCGCCCCTGCCAGGGCCCAGTCCACACATGTCTCACCTCTGGGAGGGTTGAGCCTACCACTGACCGCTCCTGGAGGGCTCCCTCCACACCCTGCTCCCCTGCAAGCACTGTAACCCCTTGTTGATGAGGATCGGTGGTGTTGCTGCTGCCTTGTGTTCAGGTGGAGGGGGCTTCTCCCCTCTGTCTGCAGACACAGGGGCCTCTTTGTATGGCCAAGAGCAAGAGGCTCGGACACCCACCCACTCAAGTGCTGCACAGTGCTGTGTACAGGCCCCTGTGCTAGGCTGCAGGCCATGCTACCCGGCTGGGCCCCTGCAAACATGGCAACGCCACATGTACCTTTTTCATATACTCAGTGACGGGATTCTGCTGCAGGAATTCAGTGCTTTCTCTTGTGTAAAATCTCTCTGTGTCAGCCAAAAATTGAGACTCAAAGGATTCTTTGTAGACGGTCAGCGTAGGACCCTTTGCAAATGCGTCATCTTCGTTTAGTCCCAACTCCACTGAAATAAACACAAATTGCATTCAATCACCAGTTCACTTCTCTGTCATGTTTAACAAAATACTGAGGAAAATCTATCATTCACAGCAGTAAAATGTTACTGTTTCAATACAGGCAAAAGGTATTTGGAACAGAGATGTGGGCAGTTCTGACCCAGGTCTGGGCAGCCTCAGACTGACTGACCTCTACTGAGTAGACAACTTTCATTAGCAGAGTAACTGAGCAGAGAAACAGCATCAATCATGGTAACAACCAACCAGGACGTGAACAGAGAGTGAGGATGTCACACACGTGGTGTGGGGACTGTAACCGGGAACAAGTGTGGAAACACTGACAACAGGAGCCTAAGCTGCTGTGTCAATTTTCACTGAAAACAGAGTAAAATTCTAACAACAAAAGTGGATTTCTAGTTATCAATCAGCTCCAATAGTGTGCTTGCAGCCCTACCTAAATTCACATCCACTACAGATCATAGTCAGGAGCTCCCGTGGCCTAGAGGCAAGAAGCTGCTTGCAATCCCAAAGGCATGTGTGGGAGAAGGATGGGCAACCGCCTCCCGGGCAATTAGCTGCCTCTGGAAACCTGCCAGCAGGTCAGCTATGGGTCGGCTCTGACTCTGTGGTACACAATAACAACAACACCGCTCATAGATCAAACACTTTACTGTGAGATGAGGAAGGAAAAAATTCAAACACCTGTCTCATCAAAATGAACTCAAAGGGTCAAAACAATGTATAGGAGGGTTGAAATAAAAGGGTCGTGCCGAGGAGACTGAGGCACTCTAGGAATGCTCACAGTGTTCTCGACAATATCCACCTAGTTCAGTGTGAGCCTGGAAACGGCTCTGCCACTCGCTGTGAAAATGGAATAGATTACCGTAGGACTGCACAACTCCACTGATCAATCGTGTGTTGATGGTTTCACCGTTTCTTTCCTTTTCAATGAGTTTTAAGACAGCGTTTGTTACCTTTAGTTAGAATACAAGAAAAATATGAGATGCATACATTACAGAGTGCAGTATATACCATAGTACTACAGGAGCTGTTAAACATCCAAACCCACTAAACAGAAAATTAGAATTAACTACTGACCCATAACCAAGCAGACAAACGCTTAGAAGTCAAATTTGAGAAGTACACTCTGACACATATGCACATTATCACAAGTACCTGTTTATTCAATGGCCTGAACAGACAGTCTCTCCAAGTCACCAACGCAAGCTGGAAAAACAAAGCAGGTCACGTATAAAACATCCCTGCTTCTCTGGGTTTCAAGGTGGAAGCCGTAGAGGGACTACTCAGTCAGCATCTCCAGGTGGTAACCAGATCCTTTTGTTACTTAGCTGAGACAAGGGCATCTAGGCACTGGTGTCCACGCGCTGCCATCTGAACGTCTAAGGTGAACCAGACTTTAGGTTTAAGGAGCACCATTAGCTCAAAGAACATGGGGCAACTGTGCTCTTGACTGTGGAGGCTGGGTCACTGTGTTATGTCTTTACAACTGAGTGGATGCAGTTTACTGTACGTAAATGACTCCTCAATAAAGCGGATTTATTTTGAGTATCCAAGATCACAGGGATGTGGTGGTCTTTTTAAACTGATGAAGTGGATTGCAGTAATTTATATAGTTCCTAAAATATTCTATCTTAGAAATGTTTCCAATCCTGTCACATTTATTTTACTTTTAAAGCATATTCCCTTGACCTGTTAACACCAAAGATGATGTTGGTTTCACTTCCAGTGTATATCCATACATTCCAGTAAGCAACTGTGCTGTGAGGTGGGCACTGTCGCTGTGGTGTGAAGCAGGTGGGTGCTGTCATCAGGGTGTGAGGTGGGCGGGCACTGTCACTGTGGTGTGAGGTATGAGGTGGGCAGGCAGTCACCGGGTTGGAAGGGGAAAAGCATGATGGAGAATCTGTTACATCTGTTCAAAGGATCCCAGCCACAAAGTAGGCAGCAGGCATTCTGAAGCCTGCGCCTTGGCCCAGTTCTTATGCTGGGGCGTCCTTGGTGTCAGGGCCAGGGTAGGCACAAAGGAAGGGGCACCTTCGCCTCAGATCAAACTATGGAGGAGAGATGTCCCTGTCGGTTAGAGCGAGGCTGCCTTTGTTCCTCACCAGAAACACTGGAGCACCACCCACTGATGAGGGGTAGCTACGGAGGCACACCTGCTGGGGGGAGACCCCGTTCAGAGAAGGCCATGTGTCTCAGAGACCCTTACTGAGTAGATCTCGTAGATCCCCTTCCGCCCTTCGTCGCACTCCCGCCGGACCCAGTGTCGGTTGAGGTAGGCACAGATCCCGTTCAGCACTTTGCTCGAGAACCGGTAGTCTTCCCACTGCTGCGTGTAGAACTTGAGGACGCTCTCGTCCATCAAATCCTCTCCATCCTAGAACACATCAACTGAGGCTTTAAGATGACTAATGCGTCGTCACAGAGGAGTCAAACATTAATCAAGAAGTTAACCCAAGTTCCCACAAAACACAGCTCTGGCAATAAGGCCAAGGCCAGGACTCTGACGAAAATCTTTTCATCTCCAACTACACTGGGCAAGATGGTGTCCACGGGCCCCACACACGTATTTCCAAGAAGGGTTCTACCCCGGAGCCCAGCCCAGCTGGCCAGATGACCTAAGAAATGGCTGTGCACTCTGACACAAAACTGAAGATTTCAGCACACGCTCCTAGCGTGAAAAGATTCATTAACTTCAAACACTAGACAAACACAACATGGTTAATAATAATAATAATAAAAAGTATAATTATGGGATAGGTTGTAAATAACAGACCGGTCCCGTCACCCTCCTGGCGGGTAAAAGCACCAATCAGTCACAGCTGGCATGGGGATCTGGCATTCTCAAGTCAGAGTCCTCCCACCCTGCGTGTTTTTGCTGTTGTGTTTTAAATGTGCAGGATGTGGTAAGCCATCTTACCTTAAGAAGGTTTGTCAAGTAATTCTTCAGAAACTCCTTCAGTCGCTTGTACAGTTCCAAGCCAACAAACTGGGCACCCCCGGGCGTCTGGCCCTTCTTGGCCTTGGAGGGAGGGACGCCTGCTCCACGCGCCTGGTTCGACTGGTGCACGCTGGTACAGTAGTTGTACACATGGCTGGGCGGGTGGTCAAGGAAAGCAACACGTACAGCTGGACGGAAGTCAGCAGGACACACACCAAGAGAAGCAGGGTAACAAGGGTGGACACCAGAGCCCACTCCCACACCAGCAGAGCCCATGTTCTGGGTCCTCGCAGCATGAAGCGAGCAGGTGGGGGTGAACCTGCAGGAAGAGAGAAGCTCAGGGGTCCTGGGAGACTGACCCTGGGGGGAAGTGGCCGTGAGAGGACTTTACCAATGGGTTGCTGGGAAGGTTATAAAGAAAAAGAGGAGCAAAGTGATTCATTTTATTCCGTCTAGATGATGAACAACCATCCTATGAACACAGGCAGAACGCTCCCTACAATGAGTGTCCTGGTCCAGAGGGAGTCCAAGAGCGCTCACAGTCATCTGACCAAATTCTACTGAGAAATGAGGGCATCAGTGACCACACCCAGTGGTGTGGGCAGGAGTCAACTGGCCGAGGCCAGTGACCACCTCTCTGCCAAGTCTGTAAAACACTGATCCAGCTGCATGGATACTGCTAGGATAATGGACAGAAAACACATGGAAGCCAAGTCCAAGAGAAACAGACCAAAACGCAACAACATGTAAAAATGCACAGTAGTACTTTAAATCAGAGATCACTCTACAAAGGGCATTAAGGCTTAAGACTATGTCAAAATGTCCTCTATATGCTAAAATAGAAATATATTAAAAATTGGGGCATGAAAGCAGAAATGAACACCCAAGGAAGTAGCAGCGACCATGCCATGGGTGGCCAGTGGCCAGTGCCCAGAGAACAGTGCCATGCTTCAGGCTGTGTCCAGTCACTTCACGACTGAAAGGAATTCAAGTGCAGAACAAAGCTGAGTGTAACAGCACCACCTTTGAGACCCACTTGTATCCAAACACTGAACTGTGTGCTCAAAGCTGTGGCAGGTGTACCAAACCCGCTTGGTGGTAGCACGTGCCAGGGTGTCTGAGCCTGCGCAGTCCTTCAAAGTCCAGCTCCTACAGGCCAGGCACAGACCTCCCATAGCTCACAACTGCAGCTGAGAAAATTTCAACTTAAAAAATTAGTTTCAACATTTTCAGAGGGCTCCAAGTAAACACACTCAATCAAGCATAGAATAACGCACAGCGGTATAATAAAAACAGCTTCCCAAGATAATCTTGTAATAATTTTTGTGGGCTCTCAAAGATAATTTAACAACTGCAAAGTTTATTTATATTATTAGATTAGTTCAAAGACTCTACAGTAGAATACTGATCAAAATGTATGAAATGTGGAACAAAATTTAAATTTCTCATGTAATCTAGATGTTAGGAAGTCAATGATGGTAGAGGAATCTCTGAAAGTATTGCCCTGAGATAATCTTGAAACAAAATATCCCAAATTCATCTGACTGCATGGATCATAAGAAATTATGCCCAACATTGAGAAGAATGGGGATTCCAGAACACTTAATTAGGCTTGTGCAAAATCTAAACCTGGACCAAAAGGCTATTAGGTGAACAGAGCAAAGAAACTGTATGGTTTAAAATTAAGAAAGGTAAAGTGCCACACTGCCTTCCACAGTGGTTGCACCATTTTACACTCCCACCAATAGGGAATGAGGGTTCCAATTTCTCGACAACCTCACCAGTACTTGTTGTCTGCTGCTCTGCTGAGCTTCGCTACTGTTACGGGGTGAGATGATATCTCAAAGTTGTTTTGATTTGCATCTCCCAAACAGATCTAAGCACACCAGGTTTACTGCTGTGCTGTCACAACAGCAACGAGATGGAAGCAATCCAGGTGCATATCAACAAATGAATGGATAGAGAAGCTGTGGTATAGCCACACAATGGAATACTATGCAGCACTGAAAAACAAGGACCGCATCATGTATTATACAAACTAGGTGACTCTGGAGGTCATTATGCTGAATGAAATATCTCTCTGTCACAAAAGGACAAATACTGCATAATGCCACTGTTATAAAAGAAGACTGATATGGGGGTTGGGGGAAACGAAGAAAAAAAAAAGAGGGGATAAATAAGAAAAACTGCATTTAAATAGTTGAGGGAAAGAACTGTCTAAAAGAAATATATGATCAGGTCTTCTTTGCATGGCAACAGTCCAGAATAAGAGATACATAGCAAAGTGGACTTGGGGGTAGGGAGGGAAAGGAAATAGTGCAACAATGAAAAATCTTTTCAAAGAGAAAAGCGAATGTCAGGGGAGGAAGCTGGAAGGAATATGTGCAACAATGAATAAATGGAAATCCAACTTTTCTGTAAACTTTCTTTAAAATATTAATTTAAAAAAATTAAGAAAGGTATGCATCAGGGTTGTATCCTTTCTCCATACCTATTTAATCTGTATGTTGAGAAGATTATTCAAGAAACATAAGAGTCTGTGAAGAAGAATGTGGCTTCAGGATTGGAGGAAAACTCATCAATAGCCTTCAATACAGATTGACTCTCAAGGTCAATAAAACAAAAATCCTAGCCACAGGACTGATAAACACCATCATTATAGTTGGAGAATAGACTGAAACTCTCAGTGACTTAATCTTTCTTGGATCCACAACCAATATACTTGGTATAAGCAGTCAGGAGATCAGAAGACACTTGACACTAGTAAAGTCTGTAGTCAGGGATCGCTCCAAATGATCGAGGAGCAATGAAGTCAGTCTTAAGACTAAGATGTGCCTGATTGAGACCACTTGCTATGCATTATCTCAGAGCTGGACAGTAAGTAAGGATGATAGCAGAACTGATGCCTCTGAATTGAGCTGCTGGGGTTGAGTGCTGAATATTCCATGGACTGCCAGGAGGACAGTCAGGTATGACTTAGAGGAAGTACACTTAGAGTGCTCCTTGGAGGCAAAGAGGATAAAGCTTCGTCTCTCATACTCTGGAGATGTTCCTAGGAGAGGTAATTCCTTGGAGAGGGATGGCAAAGGAGAGGAAGACCCCCAACCAGGTGGTCTGACACGGTGACTTCAGCAACAGGCGTGAGGGTACCAGAGATTGTGAGAATGGCACAGAATAGGACAGGGTTCTGATCTGTTCATAAGGCTGCTATGAGTCATACTCAACTAGATGGTACTTAACGATAACAACAAAGTCATCTTAAAACTAAATGTTGACGCCAACTAAACTGACTCCAACTATGAAACCCGAAGTACAAAAGACTGAGCCCTTGTCTGGTCCTGAAGCATCCTCACAGCCTCTGCCTGACCACTGCAGCCCCACCACTTTAGCCACATTACCATGTCGATCCAGCCTGCTGATGAGAAAGGTGCTGACCCTCTACCTTTTTAAGCGTAATGTCCTTTACCATGGACTGGCTCCTTCTGATAACATGCCCAAAATATATGAGGTGAATTTGTATTATCCTTGCCTCTATTAAAAATGTGTCATAAGCATTTCACCTGTTAAGATCTATCTAGAAGGGATCAGACAGACAACAGCAAAAAAGATTAGACGGAAAACTTAGAGATGGTGACTCTGTTCAAGAAAGAAGAGGCTCAGAAGAAGGCTGAGAAGAGCTGCATAATCTGAAGTGTATGGTCAGTGTCACAGGATTATAAAGGCAGAAACTGCTGAACTGGTGTATGTCTTACTGAGTATATTCTCAAAACCAACAAAATAAAATTAATGTATACTAAATATAAATATGTACACAGAGAGAGAGACACACACACACACTGTCCCCCACCAGGCCAAAAAAAGAATTTTCCAAATATGTTTAAGATTTCCATTTGAAATTGGCATAAGAGAATAATAAATATGAATACAGAATATTTTACAACACATGCTGTACACTGAAAACCCACTCTGCCGGATTCCCTTGCAGGGTACCTCCCGTGACAGGACAGGTGTGCGACTGGCCTGAGCCTGTACCTCCCTATGCCAGGGATGATGTTTAGAGATATGCCCAGCACTTCGGCTGCACTCCGATCTCCTTGTTTGGTTCCATGGTTAAGACACGCTGGAGAGCCTCTGGGACCTACTGCCTTGCAACCTCCCACACTGGCTCGAACTATTCCCTTAAAACTGGACTTTGAACTGCGTTGGCTAGTCAGTAAAAAGTGACAGCAACAAAGTTGCTAGGACAAAAGAAACTCAATTATTTAAAAATTTGGGCCGGATGCCAGTGTGGCTGGATTGTGAACAACTAGTTTGATGTCCTGGCACGGGAGACAGGGCACACAAGGGAGCCCCTGGAGGAGCCAGGATTCTGCCAGGACTTGCAGAGTGACACATATTCAGGAGGGGCACTGACCCTGAGCTGGACACCACTCCTTCTGACTCTGCTGATCAAGAGAACTGCTTGCTATGCAATGTGCATGCTGCCCTTTTCTTCTGTTGTTTTAATTATACTAGTTTAACTGCCCTTGTTAAGAGGGGGTCAATCTGAACCTTTCCTCTGAGTCTTAATTCTTTTGGTCCAATTGGCCAGAACTGACCAGAAAAGAACAGATCTGAAGCTTTATGTTAAAACTTTCAGCCTCACTGTAACCAGGAGCCTAGCTTTCTTTCTCTGCGAACTTCCTGACCTTTGGAGTCTTGTTTCCAAAGTCCAGACAATCATATATGTGAGAATGGTCACATTTACAAAAGTAAGGAAAACTTTTGTGTGTTTAGGTTTATTTGACACGAGCCATGCTTGTTAGGTGAGCAAAACAAGCTCAGCAGTGAAAGGCTAGAGACAGAAATGCCTAGCCACTTCTTTGGGGGAACATGGTACATCAGTAACCAATGGTGGCAAGAATGTGCATTCCTGCTGTGGGATCTGGCTTTCTATTGGACTGGGAATTTCCATACGGTTCAGAGAACAGGGTGCCAAGGCAGGTTAGAGAGGAAGGCCACTGAGTACCCTGTGGTTACACAGCCACAGAGGACAAGGCCATCCTGGGACGTGAGGACACCAGTGTCTGTCCTGGTGTGTGAGGACACCAGCAGACACCAAGAGATTGGGCCCTGGAGCTCACCGTGCACCACCTGAACTGGCAGAAGAGGCTGTAAAAACAACATGACAGCAGAAATTAAACCCCATATCCAGGAGAAGGCCATGTCCAAGCAGACTGCCAGGCTGGGTCAAGGAACAAGGGGCAACAGAAAGAGGAACCCTAGGTCCTTGGGCCCTTTGCACAGCTGCCTCAGCTTCCATCTGTCTACCCTTCAGCAGTGCGTGGCCCCTGTCACACCTTCACTCCGGCAGAGTGGAGCATCTTTCTCACAACAGGACTCACACGATCCTCACTGACCACTGTCTGAAGAACTAAAGAAAGACATGTTAAACTTCCAAGAGTATGAATGTGAATTGTGGAATAGTCAGCCCACGTACCTTGATGGATAAAGAGAGTTAGTGAAGGCCTGACATTGATTATTTTTCAAAGTAACCTGGGGCTAGGGTGGAAGGCAATTAAAAAAAAATCAATCAAGAATGAAAGAGATTCTTACAGGGCTCATGAAAACATAGCAGTTACAAAAGAAAAGTCCAAGAGCTTGTTTCATAATAACAATCCTTGTCCCCAAAGTTAAGTGCTGATAAAAGCTTGCCACCAACCAAGTATTTCATTAAAATTTCTAAAATATGCAATCATGGTTCAATGTCAAATGAATATAGCCTTCTTTAAGACACCTGACTATTCAGTCACCTACCTTACTCAGAATGACATCTGATAGTGTCCAAAATGGAAATCCACCTGTAAGAGGAAAAGCTTCCCACAACTTTTGTTCTCAAAAATAAGGAGACATGGATTCGGAAGATAATTTCGAAAGGTTCACAAATGTTTTTCATGGCAGCAGAATTACTGATGAATGTGCATATGCAGCTGTGACTATTTTTATGATGTTCTGATATATGTCACAAGACACAACAACTCAGACAGGTCAGCTAACATTAACAAGCTACAAACATCTTCAGCAGTTAATGAGAGCAGAGTGGTGGAGCCAATCTCCGCATCTGGGTTCAGACACTGTGAATCACAATGGGAGGAGAATGCCCATTTTTCTCCCAATGAAAAATCTTGCTGGTGGATTAAACTACCTGTGGGTTACACACACGGCTCCCATTTCTGACAGCTCAAATCTTCTGATCGTAAGGTTACCACCCAGGTGCCTACCTACTTTTAGTAAAGAGATGCCTGGGAACAGAATCTCTGTGGACACATCTCAGTCTTACATCAGGTGTTCTCAGTCTATACAGCATGTGCTCCTGGTCTGTAGATCAGAATGTGACCCAGTGCCCTGTCTCACCACCACAGTGCTTCACTTTTAGCAGCTATGTAAAAAAAAAAAAAAAAAAATTTAAAATAAATAAATAAATAAAAAAGCCATTCCTAGAAAAGCAAAATCCTCTTATCCTTCAATGTATTCTATGGAGCACAGGGTCCAACAATACTGCTAAGTATACATAGACCCAAGAGAAAAGCACTTAGAACCTGTACGTGATGGTCTATTCACCACAGTCAAATGGACGAGCCCAACATCCAGCATCAGAAAGGAGATAAGCAAAAAGTATAATAATACAATGCAGATGAGAAAAGCCAGTGGGAGAGTACACCACACAGTTTCATTCCTACAAGTGTCCAGCAGAAAGCGGAGTGGCCCGGTGGTCAGGGAGGGGACCTGGGAGGAATGGGGAGGTGGCTGCTCACCGAGAAGTCTGTTCTAGCTGACGAAGACACTCTAAGCCGACTGGCTGACAAATGCCTAATGCTATGAATACACTAGGAGCTACTGGTATGTCCATTATAAACAACATGTAAATTATAGCTCAACAAATCTGTTACAAGAAAAAAAAAAGGTTTCATGGTGTGTTAAGTGTGCATGTCTCTGTGCACACACAGAGATGACTCCTGAGCAACAGAGGTCTGAACTGCGAGTGGCCAAGTGACAGGACATTTTCTTCCTGCTGCTACTGGGGTGGGAAGGTCAGCACTCAGGAGTGTTTGCTCTCACGGCTGCCTGGCACTTGTGCTGAGGTTTCTGATTGCACGTGAAGCTGGCATCCCAAACTCCTGTCCTGTTCTAGGGTCCACAAGACACGAGCACAGGAATGCACATATACAAGCAATACATTTTAACCACATTCACTAAGATGGACATATAATACCGTAGCTATTGCCATTATTAATGTGAATTTATCAGAGACTATCACACAACCATATCTGGTAATCACTGTTGCATATTAAAGATCGAAGCTTAAGGGACTTTGAAACTCCTGGAATGAGCATACCTAGCAGCCTATACTCTCTAGTCAGTTTAGCTTTCGTTTCAATAGCCAGACTCAGCTGTACGCACAGCGAGAAGGGGCCATGGACAGTAGTGAGGGGCATGTGTGTGCTTGGCACTACCCGGAAGAACCTATGCAGCGACAGAGCGTCTGATGACAAGCGCCTGAGCCCTGAGAGAGGCTGATGCAGCTGAGGAAGTGACGTTCATTATGAACTCCTACTATCTCCAACCTCAGCAGCCACTGTAGCCTAGGCTGTGGAATGGAAAAGACAGCTAACTGTGGTGGCCTAGTGGTAACGAAGCTGTGTGGCAAACCCAGAGGCACATGGTTCGAATTCATCAGCTGCTCTACAGAAGGATGTGCCATCTCCTCCTGTGGATTAACTGCCTCTGAAAACCTGCTGCAGCATCAGCTATGGGTTGTTTCTGACTCTACAGCGCAAAGCTGGAAAGGAATGCTGTGGTGGCAACTGCAGGAGAGGTGGGAGGCACACGCATGGAGTGCAGTACGGAGTGACCAATACCTGGGCCATGGAGCCCCAGAGGATACGTGTAGAGTTCCATGTACCTGGACTTGGCCATGCTCTGCCTGGTGTACACCTGCTGGATCCCAGCTCTAAGATCATCCCAGATCTGGTCCAGGCCAATCTGCTTTAGCCCGTGGGGGTTCTGGCTCCTGTTTGACGACATTGTGAATGGCAGTCTTGTGTTGTCCAGGGCAGCGATAGGTGTTCCAGATCTAGCTAATGCTCCATCAGACGAAAACACGCAGCAACATCCCACAGATTCACAGGAGCCCCAAGGAGATGTCCTTGACAGGTAGACCAGGCACTCTCATCGCAGGCCAACCTAGGGAGAAACAAGTGGGGTGAGTGAGCATCCTGTGACAGAAGGCAAAGCTTCCAGCCTCAAAGGGGTCCTCGAGTCACACACTGCCACCCTTTGGAAGAGGTGAATTCCTCTTCCAGAAGGAAGCCTGGTCACAATCACCAGCAATTCAAGTGTTTCCTGGATCCTCAAGGCACTAAGGATGGCCAAGCTCCTGAACTTCTCTGAGCTCCAACTAGCTAGCCTACAAAACAGCAACAAAGCCTCATGTCTCATGGCTGTCCAGTTTAGATAAAGATGCCAGCAATTATTATGAGGACGGCCGGGTTTCACTATGTTCCACACGGCCACTGATGAGTTGGAGTACCTCGTGGCACTTAGCAACAACAACAAAACCAATACTGGTCAGCTCCTAATCAGACACTACAGGTCAGAGCACAACTGGTCACAGACCTCTTAAGGCCTCGGTCTTTATGAGTCTTTCTCCCACGGACTGGATGTGGATTCCAACAACTGATTTTTCAGCTAGTGGTCAAATTCTAACCCACACAAAGTTATGTCACCAAGGCTCCTTCAATAAGATGTACGTAAAATACGTACTGCACAATGGCCAAAACATGTCAACTACTGTGTATGAGTCCTTGAATGGTATAAACTCCACTCAGACTAACACATCCAGACACTGCTTTTGCCTCTAATTCTAGAATTTCTGAGCAAACATGCAGCTTGGATACTGTTGGAGCAGACAATGCTAAGGAAATGTCAGAGAGAAAATATCAACCAGAGTGTGACAAGGTGTCTGGAAGGTTTCTGAAAATGCGGTATAATGAATGAAGCACTGGCTTAAGACAGTGCCATGTCCCCTAAACACAGAATATGAATGAATAAAAATATAGAGAAAAGTCACTGATAAAAGAAAACAGGATTAAATTTAGAAACAACATATGAAACACTGGGTTATTCGGCTTGAGGTGGGAAGGTGGGTCTGGGCTGTTGTTGTCTGAGGATGCACTTCACACTTTATGTGCTGTTTGTTTGGTGAGGACTAATTCAGCAGCTGGGAGGGAAACTCACACCACTCCGAAGACTGGAAAACTCCCAGACCCTCAAGTTCCTCAAGTTCCACTGAAGTTGCTGGTTCAGCTGCAGAGAGAGAGGGGCTCGCTGTCTTGTGTCTCATGGGTATACAGTCCATGCTGAGGTCAGGGATCCCACTCAGAAAGATGATGGAGCCCCAAGCTGTGAGCTGGCAAAATCTTTTCTGTCCTCACAGCATCTTCCCTACTCCACCCAAATCTCTGGAGCACCTCAGTGAGGCTGACTCAGTTATGGCATCAGTAGCAGCTCATCCACTGAAGCCCATTTTCTCTTTACTGGCCCTCCCGTGCTCCCCATTCGGCCACCATACTAAAGTCAAAGTCACACTCCTCCTCCTCTCCCTGAACTGTGTAGGCAAGACCTGCTGACTTTGATGCTATGGTGCTGGCCTCTCAGAGTCTCTCATCTCTATCAGAGTTGTGGAGGGCTCTCCCTCATCAGAAGGTCTAGTGGTATTTTATGTGACAAGTATGGCTGCTAACTGAAAGGTGAGCAGTTCAAATCCACCAGGCACTCCTCAAGAGCAAGATGAGCAATTGCTTCCCATTACGATTTACAGTCTTGGAAACACGATGGAGGGCCATCAACTCAATGGCCTGGGTTTTTCTGGTCCCTCACCAGCCAACAAATATGTCTCCTCCAGGCTGCTCTCCACAAAACCCTCAGGCTCTCAGATAAGTGACCCCAGCCGTCTGGAACATGGTTACCTCAATATCCAGGGCACTCCAATCCTGCTGTGCCTTGAGGTTCACTATCCTGTATGAAAAGGTTCTCCTGATTCCATTGGCTACTCCTGGGGTAGGTCACTCCTGCTTGGGGGGCCCTCTATCTTCGAGGGGCAGCTATTAACCAATGCCTACTGTACCTGTCCTGGGCAGCATGGGTGGGTCCACACCCAGGTGAGCAGGTCTCCCTCCACTGGAGCCACTAGAGACCAGGATGGTACTTCAGGTGTGCAGAGGCTAGGTCAGGCAGGATCGGGCATACTAAGTACTAACTCTTTAAGGCAGGAGCCTGCCCATTTGTTTCACACAACTGTGGATTCTAATAGAGACAGACCACCCCATCATATGTTCTGTAATCAGGGTTTCGTCCATCCAGAACAGTGCTGACTACCTTTTGTGACTTCATGATTGAAATACAAAGTTTGCAATGTATAAATTTTAAAAACGTATTTAACTTACACTCCTTATGAAACTGAAACATGTTAAGAGAATTTCTATTCAAACAAATTACAGTTGACAAGCAGCACAGAAAAATGCAAATGAGCATTCAGAGACATCAACTGAGTCTCTAAAGTCACCTGCAATCTCTCAGTCGATTCCAGTCTCACTGACACGGAAAGCAACACCCACCCAGCGCATATTGAATGAAAGAGAGAGAATAGAGAATGTCTGTTCTCATTTAGCCAACAAAGATCAAGGTAAGTTCCCTAGACCTGGACAGGCCATCAGGCTTCGAGCCCATGCAATGTCTTGACTCAAACTAGTGACCACACATTTGATAATGACCAGGCAGAAGAGACCTGCAACCCAATGCTCACGCAGCACTGCTTATTAACAGCCATGAAGAGAAACCAGGCCCGTGTCTGGGCAAACGGAATGTGGGGAGTCCATGCTACAGAGGATTACTCAGGAAGACATGGCACCCTCGCACTTGCCTTGAGACCATGATGCTGACTAAAATAAGCCAGAACAAAAACTAACTCTCCCCCACAAACCCCAAATATTATACTATCCAATTCATGAGAAATATCTTGTTTTCTGGAACCTTTGAGGTAGCCCCAACTCAAGTGACCCTTTAAGTACAAGAGAACACACAACCCCTCCTAGTTCTGCACCCTCAGTTCTCCAGATCACATAGCCCTCAGATGAGAGGGACTGACACAGTAACAGGAGTAAAGAGGGTACGTGTGTCAGGGACTCTGAAATTGGCTCAGGACAGGGCCAGGTTCAGAGCTATGGTGCATAGGGTTGCTTTGAGTTGTAGCTGACTCGACAACACAATAACAACAACAAACCATACATTGAGTGTTTCCAAAGGATGATCCTCGCCAGATCGCCACTGTTTAACCTTGTCTTCCCGCCTCCTTGGCTCTTCCTCTGAAAGCTCTGAATAAAACAGTCTGATCTCAACAAACAAACAAAACTCCAAACCATACATCAACAAATGCACTACAAGGCCAGCTTTAAAGCAAAACCAGAAGAACCAACACCTATTGCCACTGTGCTGGTCCAGACTCAGCCACACTAGGACACGGCAGACTGTCCACAGGGTCTCGAGGCTGTAGATCTTTGCAGGACAGACTGACATCTTTCCTCTGCAGAATAGCTGTGAGTTCAAACTACTGTGCTGTTCCCTGGCTCCTCTGTGCCACAGTGAGCTAGCTCCTTAGGCCACTCCCTGGTGAAGGAAGGATTATCTTCGAAGCGGCAGTGTGGTTGTTTGTGGAGCACTCAGAAAGGTCTAGAGGACTGGAGCAGCCTCCTGCATTGACAGACACCAGTGACACAGAATTCAAAGGCTGTAGGAGATGGGACAGGGCATACACAATGCAGTGTGACAGTGGAGATCAGAACAAGACTGCCGCGCCCGGGCAGGATGAGATGGATCCATCAGGTCAAGACCAAGGCTGGAGCTGTGTGACAAAGGAGGGTCCTTTCTTCCTGAACATATTCTACCACAAATAATGCCTTCAATCCATTTTGTTGAGTGTCCTCCTATTTTCTGATAACTCTGTACATCACCATATGTTAGGGATTGACTTGTGTGCCCCCAAAACATGCTGCAATGATATAATATGGAAGCTACGTAATGACACCCTGTCGTCTGATAAAGTCAAACAGGTATGGAACTATTGGGGATGGAATGCAGCACCCCTTAAACTCATCACCGAGACTGCCTAGGATGTGGTCTGTAACACTTTTCAGAGATAAAAGAGAGACCTGGCCAAAAGAGGATTCTCACCAAGAAAGAACTGGCAGGAGTGAGCTTCTTGACGGTGAATGACAAAACACATGAAGAAGGCCTCCAAGGAACATCTGGACCACAGAGGCCGAAGCAAGTAAGTACCTTCCCCCACATCTCGTAGTGCCAGGGCCAGCACTCCAAGTGGCTACTTCTGTCTAAGCAGCATGAAGTAGGTAGGTAGAACACCCTCTCTCCACCTAACAGCATGGCCGAGTATTCTAGCTATTCTTCTCCAAGGCAGAGCTCATTAATCTTTTGGCAGTACACAGCATATCTGATATATCAAACAGTGGACTATCACATTACAAACGGATGAACCGCGAAAGCATCATCCTAAGTCAAAGAAGCCAAAAGTCAAGCCTATTGCTGCTGATTCTAACCCATGGTGAACCCTCTGTTACAGAGCAGAACAGCTTGAAAGGGTTTCCCTTTTCCTGGCTGCAATATTTAAAGATTGATTATTCTTGCTGCAGAAGAGCAAACACTGCAGCCTTCTATATGGATTGTACCTCCAAGTCAAGAAAACAAAGATTCTTAACCACTGGACAGGAAGGCAACATCATGATAGATGGAGAAAGGACTGAAACTGTCCGTGATTTCATCTTAATTGGTTCCAAAATCAGTGTTGGTACACTTAGTACCAACACTCAGAAGATCAGATGTACTGTACTGGGAAGTCTGTAGTCAGGGACCTCCTCAAATTACTGAGAAGAAATGATTAGTTAGTGTGAGGACTAAGGTGTGAATGATTCAGACCATGGTCTTTTCTGTCCCTTGCTATGTATGAGAGCTGG